AACAGAACAGAGCATAGTCAAGACTTCTTTATTCTTTTATAAGAAAGAATCCGTTAAATTCCCACGCATTATTTCTAATATTCAAATGAAAAGAAACTCTATTTTTAAAACGAACAAAAGTGTCGTCAGTATGCCATAAACTCTCATAAAGCAACCTACAATAAGCCAATTAGAGTCCGATCAAAGTTCACGAGTTTTTTTGCATGAAAACTAGAAAGCAAACTGCTCCAGGTGTGTGTTTTACGATTGAACAACAACCGAATTCACGGGAACATGAAGATTCCTTGGGCAGACTGCGCCCTAAAACTCGCCTCGCCTTCCACTCAACGCATCGGAAAGGATATTAGAGCAAGCTCTTCGTTATTCACTCGAAGGGCGTCCGATGTAACTTCTGAGGCTTTCTCCACTGCGATGAGCGGAGATCGCTATGAGGGGCCTAAGCATAATCGCGGTCACTCTTACGCCATCGTGATTAATATGAATTTTAATAATTATTCAAGTGTGGCTAGAATATTATTTTTCACCATTCCTGTTTTGTTCTGTTTTGTCTTTCTTTTTAATGTATCTCTTCGACCAAGAAAAAAAAGAATAAAAAAAAAAAAAAAAACCAATCTCATTTGTTCTCTTTTATTTTATGTATAATGTTCCATACATTTCTATGAATATGATGAGCCTGACCAAATGGTCGCGGCAAATATCCAAGTATACAAAATAAACACAACTTCAAATAGCCAAGGTGTTTTTGATCCCTCTCGTTATTTTTATTTTTATCATAATGATGACAGCAATAATCCAGTTAAATACAGCTTTTGTATTATTATGTAATTACTAACAAAAAGAATTTTTCAAATCAACCTCTATGAACTCAATGGTGCTACTATAACTTGCACCTTCTTTGATATGCCAATTTATCAACTTGCTAAAACTTCACCTATTAAAGTTTTCATATCTCATATAAGCACATGGATTACTATTTTTGTTTTTAATGAGGGTCAACATGTTAGATAATTCAATGAGTCAGAAAGCATGCATTTTCTGAACTCTGCAGAAAATATGAAGAAAAAACTGGTATTGTTCTAATAATGAAGCACATAACCAAGCAGGAAAAATGAGCAAGCATTAAATCAAAACTCTTGAAAACCACTTTTGAATCTCTTGTCACGGTATATTCTTATAGACAGAAAGAATACTATACTACTGCAAACCGAACTACGTTGTTAAACAATGTGTGAAAACGCATGCTTACTAAGAATCGACTCCTACAGTGATTATCTTCTACAAACCACTACAGACTGTACCTTCTTCTCCACCGATTCAAACTCCCTGTTTCTTACCAATTCCCTTTAAATGCACATCTTTGAAGTGCATCACAGTAGCTCTATCTCACGGTATAGCTTGAAATGCACAATTGCTCACAGATTACTGAATTCCTCAACGTATTCTACAACATTCCACAAGCCTACCACACTACTGTTCTGGTAGAATTACATCATAATCACATAACCTGATATATCCAAGTCACCGTGAACAGGCATTCTAAAAAATTTCCGGAAACTTCTATTTCATAATTAGTTCCCATAACAGTTCTTGGTATTAAATCCTTTCGTTAAGCCAATTGACATATCTTATCGTGTTGGGGATGTTTTTAAGACAGCCAAAGATCACAAAATTAGCAAAACAGTTTTTTTCTAACTCGAGTATCTTATACGCATAATAAAAAAAAGAGATTGTGGATTTCTAATTGCCATTTCTTCTTGTTAAATCGCTCAGAATTTATAATACTTTCCTCGAATTTAACTGCTTACAGTTTTGTGTCCTCTTCAAAAGTGTGTTCTTCAAGGACAGCTTCGGTAGCCGAAGGTGACTTTCGACGCGTTGAAAATCTTGATTTTTTCCCTCGTCTGTAAAAAAAAACAAAACAAAACAAAAAGCAAGACAAGGAAAAAGAAAAGAATTACCCAATCGCTATTATCTTGCAAAAAAATCATTTGTGTAAAAAGCCACGTTCTGTCATTTACTCAGTCAGTCAATCAGTCAGTAAAACAGACTATCAATCAATCTTTCGGTTGGCTGCTAAGTTGGGCACACACATAGCCAGTCAGTGAAACAGTCAATCAGTTGTTCTGGTGATTGACCAGCATTCGTTCAGTCAGTTGGTCAAGTAGTCAGTCGGTCGGTTGAAAAGTTGCTCAGTCATTTTGGTCAGCAAGTCAAACAGTCTGTCAGTCGGCTGGTTAATCAGTGAGTAGGAAAGTTAGTGAGTCATTTAATCAGTAAGGTAAGTCCGCTAGCGACAGTCACTATTTCAAACGTTTAGCCAGTAGGTTAAGGAGCTTCCTAGTGGGCAAATAAGCCAGTAATTAAAATAATTCAGCGGTTAGTTTGTCGGTGACAACGTCCATCAACTTTGTGATACGAACAGGATGTCTCTCTAAAGGAAAGTGACTTGTGTATATCCCGCTGCTCACCACTTACTTCTTTTCGGTGGAATGCCTGAATTTATCGTCTCCTTTTTTCAAACTCTGGTTCCGTTTTCCTAACATGAAAAGAACAAAGTAAATAAAATCACATATTTGATGAGGTACTTAATGCACTGTGGCAACTGCTTAACTTGATGGCACTGGTTAACGACATTCTAAATGTAATTCTCTTGAAAATTAGCTTCCATGTAATAGGATCAACTTGGAGAGGAACTTCTATTTGCTGGACTGTAGGGTGATTCTGTTATTTCATGTACAGCATTCAGGAGAATGGTTTATAGTATTTATTAACTTTAATTTGAACATGGAGTTTTTATTATTTTTCTGTGCGCTGTAATGCATCTTATTGTGTGGTGCAGAAAAAAAAACAATTTTTCTGTGAACTCAACTTTCCGTCTGATTCAAATACGTGATACGAAATTTCTTTGCGTTTATTAAGAGACTTCTTCCGGTTGTTGTAATCGGAACTTTAATTTTGTGATTGAGGTCACTGTGAGCCCGAGAGAAAATTACGTCGTTTAAGAGACTCAGAAAGTTCAAGCTCTTGCCCTCCTTGCTCTGTGTTAAATAAAAAAAAGGAAGTAGACACAAATATACAGAGAACTGTAGGGTAATCCGCAGGGTAATGCTGGAGAAATAAACCGAATTAGCTTCTTTTTGTTTTTCTTTGTTTGTTTGTTTGTTTTACCGAGGTATTCCAAATAAATTCGAAGCAAAATTTGTTTTATTTGATGAAACAGCAAATAAAGGAAAAATGAATAAAATACGAACGAAAAAAATTTTAAACAAATTTTTCTGCAAGATGTCGGCGAAACGAAGAGGATATAATAATGATGACTCATCGAAATTCGCACCAGAACATTGCCCTTTTTGCGAAACAAACCCAAAGCCAAATTAAAACGGATAAAAAACCCGAAATACGTTGCTTTCGTGGTCGTGATATTACATTCACCAGGTATCAAACACTTCTAATATTACACATAATTGATGAATGTCAAACTTAGGGATTTCTTCAGTGTTTTGTAATTTTCATCTTTTGCTTGACAATTTCTTGAAAGAATTGCTTAAGAATGTTAAAGCTCCCAAATAAGAATACTCAACTAGATGTTTTCATTCTTATTGCCGTTCATTTTGTCCGCAACCTATTATTGCACCCAAATTTCGCTCATTTGCATTAAATAATTTTATCTCTTAATCTTCTTGGAGGGTAGTTGATATTCTTTGAGTTGACCACCAGTTTTAGGGGTAAGAAAGCTAGCTGAGAAATTAAAAGCTACTTCATTCAGAGCTTAGCAATGCGTGAGGGAGGTAATGAGATTCTTAATTGATCGATACACAGGAGAGCTTGACAGTCCTTAGAAGGTCCGTCCATTTCTAATACAGCAACACTGGATAAGTTGTCAAACAAACAAAGAATAGCGACCAATTTTCTCATGGAAATGATAGGCTATAGATTTCTAATAAAGAAGGTAAGAAAAGTTACCTTGATTTGGATCAGCATACCCAATAGGTGCCGGTTCGATTTTTTTGGCTTCATTAAGTCCTCCTTGAAACAAAAAGGTAAATACTGTCATTCTTTTGTGTTTTAGACTAATAAACAACATTGTATCTTATTCTCCATTATCTTAGTATCGGTGATTGTTTCAGAATCAAGTTAGACTATTTTTTTTCTGTATTTCAGATAATGACAATGATTGGAGACAAAGAAATTTTTCAAAGCTTTTAAACCTGACAAAATTGTCTTAGAACACGAGATTCGCAGGATTTAGAGCTAACGTAATAAACGACGAATGTTGGATAACTATAATGATGTAAATTAATTTTATTGATTTGTGTCTATGAGAATATCCAGCTGTTCCAGATCCCTCCAGAGGTACAGAAGAAGATAAAAACTACCATTAATACAACATATTGTAGAGTCTTGGCAATATAAACTAACAGAACAGCAATGAAAACTTCTGTACGGAACTGTTGTTTCTATAAAGATGACAAAAGAGGAGAAACTTTAGCCTACCCTGTTGTGAATGACGCACATCAACATTTGCCACTTCGATAACTACACCCTCCACTTCCCGTGGAAAAAAATATTAAATAAAACATATAGTCAGAGATTGCCACTGTGTTGTCATTCTCAGTTTTCATGATGTCCGTACTGTGTTCTTTAAAAAGAAAAAATGTCTTACCTCCCAAGCCACCATGTTGTTCAATGTCTTCCATGCCCTGTTGGTCCAGTTGTTTTCCATCTCCTGGGCCTTTTTAAAGAAAGCAAAGAAAAAAAATGGTGAACGATCCAGGAAACAAATAAGACATTTTGTAACGAACGCAGAACGAGATTTGCAATTTCAAACTATTAAAACGCAATGGACAAGAAAGATTGGGTAATTAAAATGATAATAGTAAACTTTATGTGTGTGTAAAGAAATATCCTAAAGTCACAGTTCCTTCAGTTATAGAGGACACGTTACGAAATCACAATATACACAGGGTACAATATAAACTAACAGAATAGCATTGAAAACTTTACATTGAATTAGAAACTCTAGCCTTACCTTGTTGTGGATGATGCACACCAATACTTGCCAGTTCAATTTCTTCACCCTCAATTTCTCCTTAAAAAAAGGGAGTAGACAAAAAATGTACACAGACTAACCCTGTGCCCTCAGTTGAAATTTTCATGATATGTTAACTGACACCTAAACGGTTTTTACCTCCATCGCCGCCATGTTCTTGATTGTCTTCCATTCCGTGCTGGTTCACTTGCTCTCCCTCTCCTTGGCCTTTTTAAAGAAAAAAAAAACACGAAAAGAGGTTTATAAAAAAAAAAAAAAAAAAGGAAACATACAGTTAATATAGAGAACGAAAGTACTAACAAACGAATGAAGGAATGGGTTCTAGAATTTGAGATTAACGTGATGAACAAAAAAGGTTGGATGATTTATTGTAAAGATAACAATAAACTCTATTTGCAAGCACGAAAGTCAGCAGTCAAAGATCCCTCCGGTAACAGAGCACACAACAAAATCACCAGGGATACAATTAAAAACAAACAGATCAGCAATGAACACTTCAACGCGGTATTTTTCTTCCAGACAAGAATAACATTGGATTAGAAAACGCAGCCCGCCTAGTAAGGGATGATGCACACCAACATGTACCAGTTCCATTTGTTCACCCCCACCTTCTCCTTAAAATGAAGAGGATATAAAAAAATGTTTTTAGTCACAGATTGCCCTTTATTTCCCTAATTTACAGTTTTCACCATGTTTCCAGAAATACGCGTTAGGATTTACCTCCCTCGCCGCCTTGTTGTTCGTTGTCTTCTATTCCCTGTTGGTTCGGTTGCTCCCCATCTCCTTGGAGTTTTAAAGAAGAAAAACGAAGAAAAGTCAATGATCGAGTAGTTCGTACAACAAATGAAGCGACTAATAAAAGAACGAAAGAGCGAACGAGTGAATAAATGATTGAATGTATGCCTCCATGCATGCATGAGTGAATTGATTTATGAACGAGTGACTGAATGAATCAGTCAAAAACTATATTTGCAGCAATCTATTAGTTTACACTGTTGTTCGGTTTATTTCTTATTAGGAGCTGTTAGCTGTATTTTTACTTCTTCAAATATGTGATAATTACATCGCACCTTCCTGATCACGACCACAGCAGGTGAAAACGGTCTTCAAGTAGTTCCAAACTTTTTCCATTTTGTTCTTCAGAATGCCTCTGACCTGGATACGCAATAGCCAAAAGCAATCGAGATTTCGCTCACTTCCTTGAACTGGGCTCCGATGACAAAATAGAGACTAACGAATTTCTCCTGTGCAGTGCTTTTAAAACATTTCAATGTCAATTGCAGGTAAAGAGAGCAGCCTTGAGCAGAATTATACACTGCTTCGAGTCGGCTGAAAACCATTACCCTTCCTGTAACTAGCCATTATTAATCTACTTACGGATCTAATTTATTATCTTGATTACTTATAATGGATTAAAAGCGCATAACTACCTGTTCTGTTGAAAAGGTGTACAGGATAGGATTCAAGGCCGAGTTGATCGGAAGGGCAAACACAGCAATCCAGACAGCGAGGTCTCCTTGCGCTTTGTAAGACTTCTCGATGATGGTCCTCATACCAATCACTATCACCGGCATCCAGCACACACAATCACTCAGGATGATGAAAAACACCCGCCTTGCAAGAGCCGTTTCCCTCCTAAAGTTTGCTCTTCTGGCCTGGATCTCTCTTTCAGTACCCTGACGGGCCAGTCGCCGGCTAGACAAGTAAGACTTGACTAGTATCATGAGATAAGCACCCATGATGAACAAGAAAAAAGCAAAATTCAAAGCGAGAAAGATAGCGACAGAATACTCCCAACCTGCCGGCTTATCAGAAGTAAGCTGCAAGGGCAGACATACCACGCTTCTACCATAATAATTATGGTACCTGAAATGGTCTTCAAAATACTGAATACCAAACATGGGCAAAAAGGCCATAAGGAAGCCAATTGCCCATATGATGATGCATAGGATATGTGTTGCCTTTGGTTTCAGAGAAGCACCCTGATAAGGAAACACAATATTTTTAAGCCGATCAGCAGATATCAGAGTCATCATCATAACCGACACCTCACTTGACAAGAGGGAGATCGCTCCAATTATTTGACAAGACAAACCAGACCTCCACTGGAAGTCATGCAAGTAATACTCTCCTCTCCACAACATATCTTTAGTGCCAATAGAGACCAGGTAAATACCCATCAAACCATCGGACACTGCTAAGTGGAGCAACATGATAGACTGTACCACGTTCTTTTCTTTAAAGATTACTCGCCAAGTGATAACAAACACTGCACCAACCAGAGAAAAGATTCCTATCGCCCAGATACTCTTTCTTGGGGCAAAATTCTTAAACATGCTCTCACAGTTGGCAAAGTCGTCGTTGTATGTGAAAGCACAATCGGCGTCCTGCTTGTGCAAATGACAACACATCAGATTTGTGTCGAAACTCCTACAGTTGTGAAATATCATCAGCTCAGGAAAGTTATTTCATTAAATTTTATAGACCTTGTCGGCAAAAGCTTGCTTTTAAGATATATCAGAAACTGATCGCTGGAGTTATCCATGGACTTGTACAAAACATTTTTTTAAGTATCCGAGTCTTCAATACTCATATCAAAAACTTAGCTTGAATGTCTCTATGATGTTGTCTACTCAGAATATATAGCTTTGCTCAAAAACAAAAAATTTGCGAATGAATTTTATCAAAATCTTACACTCGCAGTATATCCTTCAACACATCGAAAAATCTCCCTCATCTTGTTGTACTGCATATACCTGGAAATTAATAGATAAAAATGTAATGATGAAAAGCCGCAAAACTCCACAACAAAAATTAATCTTTCAAATAGATTCTCTTAATTCCAACACCGTCAACGAAGTCTTTTTTCATTTAACTATTTTATTCTTGTTTATCTCGTTGCCAGGTTCCCTCTAATCGCGAAGCTTCTTTTTCCTTTATATAAACCACTTACAATTTACAATTCCTCCATTCTTAGACGAAGGGCTAATGCTCAAGACATCAGCTTCTGAGGCTCTTCAGACTGGCCAGTTTACATCACCAACTCAGTTGATAATAGTTAAATATCGGATGAGATTGACCATGATACTATTATAACGCTAAGGTCTGAGTTTTCCGCCGAAACCATGATATCATGGAAAAACCGAATTCAACCACTGTTTTATTGTACATTTTTTAAAACACTCTGCAAAAGACATTTCTCTCTGAGTTTGCAAAAGTTTCAAGACGTTACACTGACGAGGGGCTTGGCAATTGGTCAGACTTTGAACTTCACTTGATAACCCAATACCTGATGCAGATATCGGTTATCATGTCACGTTCATACGCTTATGTATATTGACTGTACGCTCTAAACTAATGAGAGTTTTAATATGGAATGACACCAAATATCTTGAAATACCCCACATTAACGCAGCACCAAAGTTTCTCTACAAACTTACTCCCTCTAAGCAAATAATCAATCTGCAGGCAGGAAAGTATTTACCGGTGAGTTACAGATGAGGTAAGAAGCTTTTACGACAAAAGCATCGTTTTGGTGTGTTTCCATCATATTTCAATAGTTTGAACACCTCAAGGTAACCAGGTTCGTCTCTCAACTTGGTGATTACTTGATTAATTATAACACTCACAGAATTTTCAACTGTCTAATTTCTTTGAAGTTGTCGACGGAGACCTGAGTCATTTCGTTTTCAACAATTTCTCTAACAAAAATAAAGTGCAACAAAATCATACAGAGTAACAGGAAAGGTGCAATGTTTCGTCATTGATGTGAAAATTATCATTTGAGGTAAAATCAAATGCATTCAAATGTCCTGATATGTTATTTCAAAAACACATTACTCACCAAATGAATTTCATAGTTTACTTACATAATCAATAGCTGCTTTAAGCCTTTAAAAATTCCTTGTGGGAAGTATCTGAGTTTGTTTCCCGATAGATAGCTCATGAAGAAGAAAGGAAGAAAATGAAATGAATGTTGAACATAACGGATTAAAGAACTGGACATTGGTAATTGTTTTCATAAGTAGGAAAGAGATTATGAGAATATTGCAATATAATTACGAGAAATGTATGGAGAAAGATAATTGATAGTCTAGGAATCAGGAGATTTCTGTTATGGATAAACTGCAAAATGTCCAAGGTTGTATGACAAAATATACCTGGTACTGAAAAGCCACTTGTCCAAACCGGCCCATCTTATACAAAAATCGCCAGCACCAAGAAAAGGAATCTACCCAGACCCTCATCATAAATTAAAATCAGGAATTCCGGGAAATAAAACAATGTCTTAAAAATATGGGAAGATAGATCGGAGTGGGCATTTTTCCACTGGTAGTAATGAACAAATTTAGCATTTAGGCCAAGTTATGCTACCGGCACGATAGGACATTTTCGCTTTTGATAGATGCCTAGATTTAAAACTTGTGCGATACATAAATGTTCATGAACTACTCACAGTTCATTCAGCTCTACCAGTCCCCGAAACTGTTTAGGATGCAGCTCCTTTAGTTTATTATTTTCAATTTTTCTGTTGAATTGCAAATCATAGATATGCTATTGACCAGTTTTCTTTTCATTTAAAAGTTGAATGTAATATCAGCGGTCAGTACTACGTGTAACCTTCGGTTGAGTGTCCAAAAGCAAGAGCCCGAGTGGATCACAATGACAGATCAAAGCAAAGGGAGATTATGGATTCAGTCTACATTAAAGGTACACACAATCCAGGCACCAGGCTAAAGGCGCCGGAAACGCGAGTGATCAAGTGGCGATTGGTTTTAGTTTGGTGTGCGACTGGTTGAGAGGGTGGCACAGGTTTTAAGATTAATCATAGAGGGAATAAAGTAAAACGAGAGCAATCTTTGATTACTTTTGACAATGTATAAAATTAAATTAATTTGTGTTTGACCTCAGTAACTCCAAAATTATCGAATTGAAAAGCAATTCTTAGAAAGTCCCTCTAAACAACTATATCTTCGTACTTTACATTGGGTATCTTTTTGAAATTTTCTGTAACTGTTTTCGTTTCCTTTCTTGTTTGTCTATTTTTTTTTTTACTCCAAAATTCAAATTCCCATCATCGATCGATCAATCGATTAGTAATTAACTAGAGAGAATAATTCTCTCTTACAATTATTCAGTCATGCAAACTATCCATCACTACTCACATTTTCTCCAGCTTGGTTAGGTTAGGAAAAATCGTTGGCGGTAAAGTTCTTATTTGATTGTTGGACAAAAGCCTGCAATATTAAAGCAATTAACCACACACCACGTTTATCTGCAAAGCAGAAAGTCCCCGTAGATTATGGCGGCAACTGGTAAGATCCAAATAACGATATCCTTACATATCTCTATGATACACAGATATATGTTTTGCATTCATTTGGTGAGACACGTTTTAATGAACAGGTTTAATTAGATTAAGTCGAAAGACATACGGATTGATAACATTTAACGAAAAGTCAATTTCAAGTTCAAAACTTTTATTTATTTTGTGTTTTAAATTCACGCAGAAATGGAGAAAGTTTTACAACTCGAGAAATTTCAGAGAAAAGATTTTTTTATTGTCGTGCATTTAATTGTTTGTTTTGTTGTTGACTTACAGCGTTTTGAGATTTGTCAGATTGCTGAAGATTTCTTGGGGGAGATCCTCAACTTCATTATCAGACAAATCCCTGAAATTTTCAAGGAAAAATGCATTAACCTTTCAGAAAAAATAATTCCAGCTGAAATGTAATTCCCATAAAAAGTGAAACAGTGTTTGAAAACACTCTAAGCATTTGTAGTATGCTATGTTGCTGTTATATTATATGGTGGAAGTGCACTGAGCTAGTAACACCGGGTGATGGGAGGAAAACAGTGTACAGCAATGGAACCCAAGACTACCGGGGAACACCTGCTTGTCAGAACCCGAGACCAGCGAATTTCGATCTCAATTTTTGAAAGACCAAAAATGTTTGCAAAAACCTTCTATCGAAGGGAATTAACCTCAAAATTTGGAAGTTTCCCAGTTTTTTTTTTTTAAGGGTAATTGATTGTTTGTCCGATCACAAGTGTCCGACTACAGCCAACTGTCCGATTACACCTGTACAAAGTAATTAGTGAAATATATAGCAGCTGATGCACCAGTCACATTGAGGAAATCATAATGGTTATGATTAGTTTAGTAATAACAGTGGCTGGTTTCTCCTAAGGCAGTGGGACCACGTCAGCACAGCAAGTCAAAGAAATTCAGGATCAGTGGATTTTGAGTCTGAGGCTCTCGGTTACGCTGCCCTCTGTAACGTTAATATAATAAAATCTCTCTCAATTGTACGTTTTCTAAGCGACCTAAATTAGGCCCATCATGTGCTTTTATGAAATCAGTGTACATTTAATTAGAATCCATCAAATATTTTTGCTTGCGCGCGTTTTGTATAAACCTAACCTCGCTGCGATATGCGGGGATTTCATTTCGAATACTCTTCCCATTTAAAGGAGGAGAACATTGATATTGAAAGAGTCCATATTTTATTGTTTTGTTTTTTTTGTAAAGATACAATTCTTTTTTATCATACTCACAGCTCTTCCAAATTAGTCAAATTTTTGAAAACGCGTTTAGTAAGCTTCCTGATTCCGTTATCTTGCAGCCATCTGATAAAAAGAATAACACGGCAATGATAGGTAAATGTTTTCATATCTTCAGATTTATGACGAGTTTTCCAAACTTATTTCAGAAACACAAGACTGGTAAACATCCTGACTTATTGACTTTTTTTTAAAGTTGATTTCTAAAAGTTTCGATGAGCATGGCTCTTATTATTTTGTTAAGTTACTGGAACATCCTTACTACGCATTATTTTGTTCATTCATCCAACAAAAATATAAAAATTAAGGTATAAAATAATGACTCCTACAGCAACATTTTTGTATTTTTTCTTTCTTTTTTCAGTAGATTGTTTTTTTTTCCACCTTCAATCTGCAGGTGTCCAATTTGTCACACAAATGATTTTAACTATTACCACTTTTCTTTTCTTTACTCACAGGCGTGTCAATGCTCTTAAACAATCAAACAAACCCTCTGGTAACTCTGTTTGGTCGTTGTCGTTAAGTTGTCTGTAGAGGAGAAGATTTAAAAAGTGATATAATTACTTTAGTTCAAATTTGCTGGAAAAGACATTATTTGGACCGATAGGCTCTCCAAAGCTAAAAATTTTGGAACCAACAGTTTTTGATTTCGAAAGTACTTTATTGAATTTAATGCGACCCTTGTTTTAATTTGCGACTCAACACAGATTCGTACGAGGCTTTTGAGGTACCTGATCTTACTACTCAGATCTTGCCTGCTGTTAGATTTAGCAGTTATACCTTTGATCGTTGATTGCGGGCGTTCGTTATCGGTCTGTTTGTTACGTAGATATTCAAGGGTTGAAGGATGTGATCGATGAAAAGGAATATGCACCATTTGAATTATGATGTGAGCTGTGATACTTGTAACAGGTGAGATACGAGGACGACTTTCCACTTACAGCCACCGCAGCTTAATTAACTGGGAGAATGGATTTCTTCTCAAATTCTTGATCTTGTTGCCGTATAACCAACTGTAAGGTAAAAAAGCTTGTTTTAACAATCCTTAGTAAAGTATAAATCTTGTTTGCATTTGACTGTGGTATTGGTGTGAAAAGAAGTGCGAAGTGCAAGCCTGTTCTGAGAAAGAACACTTGTAATCTCCTTTTCATACTGGCAAATAAAACAAAGTTATGGAAGGAATAAAAATTGAATTTATAAAACGTGGAACAACGTCAGATGCTAGGATATGATCATCTATGAAACTGAAGGGATTGTTTATGAGGGTAGGTTTCTCTTTTCTGTTTAACTCCGTCCATCGATGAACTTTCCCACTCTCTTTTACCCTTTTAACGGCTGACTACACCTACTAAGCTTCAGGACCTTCTTGATCACATTTAGTTGACGATGAGATAAAACTCTTGGCACACTAAAGGCTATCATCACAAGAGCCAGGAAAATAAATTGCTTACAGTTCAGTCAACTCGGTGTTGTTATTGAAGACTCCAGGTCGCAGCTCCTTTATCTGGTTGTCACCCAATTCCCTAAGAAATAATATTCCCTGATTTCAGTTAAAAGTGTCATTTTAACGCTTAAGTTGTCTGTAGACAAGACGCTTAGAGACGCTTTTACATTACAACTCCATAGCGGATTAAATGTGTACCTCAAAAATTGAGGTTGTTAAGTATTCATATATTCAGGCTATTGTTCTTTCTCATTACTTATTCATTCCGATGAGTTTGCCGACATGCCGGCAGCGTTCCGAAGATCGTGAAGAGCGCAACTTCTTTGATGTAGGTGAGATATTTTTCTTTTGTTAACAGATGAAATAAACTCTCCCGGGAATCTGCTTGATTCGGATCAAAACAAAACGATCGGCGCTCGAAATGATAAACTATTTTCGCTTTTGCTCTTCGCAGTGATTACAACAACTCGTCTAAGATCCATTTATAATCTTTTGCGACGCTCTTTAATCCTAAAAACATATTAAGGCTAAAAATACACCGTGAATAAAAACTAAATCCATTCAAATGATTGCAGTTAATCGATCTCGAGTTCATTCATCTCAAGACAATGTAAGCAAAAGGATACAAGATCACAAGTCTGTTCGCGCAAGGTAGCTTAATTACACTATTGTCCAAGTCTTTTGAAGTACCTTCCGCAGTTCCTTTGGTCTTCTTCCAAAATATCTCACCTTTTTCGAAACGAATAAAACCGACACGTTTTCGGCAGCCACCGAAAGCAATGCCCAAAGGAATAAACCGAGCCTTCGAGGTAAAAAATCCAGCGGTGTCACCCATTTCAGAAAGTCACATTTAATCCGCTATGGAGTTGTAATGAAAACTCATCGATTACTACACAAACAGCAAAAGATATTACGTACTTCGACGAGTTTCGTCTCACTGTCAGACTTGTTCAGGGAGTTTTGCGAGTTTTGTATTGTTGCTATCGCAAGTTTTTTATTTTCTTTTTTCTGTTGGATGAACACTTTATTTGTGTTGTGCCCGGATAAACACACCCTTATACTAGTTCTAAAACTTCTTTATTCTTCGAAGCGTTTCGTCTTACTGTCATAGACTTCTTCGAGGAGTTTTGCGAGTTAATGCTAAACACTTGTATTAAAAAGCCATACTATGGCTATAACGGGGGCCAATGACCATATAGGCTTGGCAGGACTTACGAACGGAAACAGGCGAAGTTGTAAAAAAATTAAAGAATAATTTAGCGGCGAAGTGAGAAAAATATCTGGGGGCTAACTGATAAACGAAACGCGTCGGAGAATAAACAAGTTTTATCATTACTGTTCGCAAAGAGCTGCTCAATAGTTTAGTTTTTTTAAAAATTGTTCTTAACAATTTTTTGAACTTTAAAACAAAGTTAAGTAAAATTTTTTTCTAAAAATTGGGTTTGAACTTAATGGTGAAATGGTAACTTGAGAGTAACTTGATGGTAACTTCTCAAACTTGTTGTCTTATTGAAAATTAGCTAGTAAATTTTGTTCCTCTGCAATGTACTGGGACATTAAAATTAAGCTATTCGGATATCTGGTAAGATTTAGGACCATGATTTGGTGATAAAAGATAAATTTTTCCTTCTAAACAATTTGTGAATATAACAGGATCGATGACTTTGGAAATGAGATTGAAACCAGGATTTGTTCAATTGTGAGCTGGGATATTGGATTTGTATTCCACCAGTTTGTACTTCGATGTTTTATCTGTATTAGTCGTTTAGAAATGTGTCGTGGAACATACATTAAAACATGTTTTTGCTGACTGTTACTGGTTTGATAATAAATGTTTGAATATCTAGTTCAAGAGAGTCAGCTTCGCGTTTGAGCTTAACTGCCATATGGTTTACAACAATCACTGAACTTGAATAAATGTTTTCCCACATTTAGTAGATCAAGACATTCTCATCACATTTGCATAAATATAAGCAGAGCCAAATCGATAAATCAAGGGTTGTGTATTAGACCCTTTAAAATGGGTGTCTTGAAGCATGTAATAGAGTTTATTCATGAAGCGGTCAGTGATAAGGATTTTGCTGAGGATAACTGGATCGGAAAAGGGGGACGAGGATCACCGCGTGAAAACAGGGATTTGGAGCTACAGAATGTACTAAATTAGAAATGACTGAACATACATGTAATTCAAGGGAGTGCGCTTCGTGCTTGAGTTAACGGGAAGTAGTATTGTTGACTGAGTTCAAGAGCTAGTTACCAAGGCGCTCTCTGAACTACGAGTATCTAAGCATAAGACACGTCAATATGCACATAATATAATAATATCTGCTTATCAGAAATGAACTCACCGAATCGGTTACATCAAAAATTTATCACTAAACTGATTCACGAAACTCTAAGCACATTACGATGCCGGGTCAAAATAAACGTAACCTGTTCAGTCTTTTATGAAACTGAAAGTAATTAATTAAAAAGGGGAGGTTGCTCTATTCATATGCCTTGGGCCACTGTGTCACTGTGCAAGTTTGATTCACGCCACCCGTAAGTTTTGTTTATTCATTATCTACTGGAGATGACGATCAGTCTTATGTTAACCAGCGATTGATTGAAAGTGAGTCTTGTGACACTTGAAAAAGTTTGTTAGTGAGGAAGAATTTTCACTTACAGCCACCGCAGCTTGACTAATTGGGAAAATAAGTCGCCTGTCAAATTCATCAACTTGTTACCGTTTAACAACCTGTAAGTTTTGGAAACTTTGTATCAACAATGCATGGAAATTTATATTTCCTGTTCGCGTCCAGCCGTAATACTAATGTGAAAGAATGCAGATTGCGAGATCCGTTCTTCTGAAAGGAAACGCTTGCAGGTGCCTCCCTCTACATACTGGCCACGCCCATGCAAACTGATAAAACAAAGTTAGCAAGGGAATAGAAAATAGGATTTACAAAACGAGGGCCACTGACATATACTGGGAAATGATCATTGATTATACTGTCCAAATACAAACCTTCCTACCCTATTTCATTCTCTTCATGGTTGACTACGCCCACTAAGCTTGAGGACTGTCATGATCGTATCAAGTAAACACTGACACTACACTCTTAGCACATCGAGGGTTAATTTTAAGAATGGGTGTGGATAATTGTTACTTACAGGTCGCTCAACTCAGTGTTATAATGAAGACTCCAGATGGTAGCTCTTTTATTGCGTTGTTACTTAGGGCCCTAAGAGGAGATATTCCATGATTTTAGTTAGAATCATATTACCTCCAAAGTGTTGCTGCCTGAGCAAACAAACCGTTCTACCCTCTTTCATTATCTTCATGGTTGACCACACCCACTGAGCTTGAGGAGCGTCTTGATCATATTAACTACTGTACTGTTACTTACAGTACGATCAATTTAGTGTTATTATTGAAGACTCCAGGTGGTAGCTCCTTTAGCTGGTTGTTACCCAAGGACCTAAGAGAAGATATTCCACGACTTTAGTTCAAATTATACCCATATAGTCAAGTGGTTAAACGGCAACAATTTGAAGAATTCGCCAGGCGACTTATTTTTCCAATTAGTCAAGGTGCAGTGGCTGTAAGTGAAAAGTCTTCCTTACATATAAACTATTTCAAGTGTCACAAGACATACTTTTAATCAATCGCTTGTTATCATTGAAATTGAGTCTTGTGACACTTGAAATAATTTGTATTTGAGGACGAGTTTTCACTTACATCCGCTGCAGCTTGACTAGTTGGGAAAATAAGTCGCCTGGCAAATTTTTCGACTTGTTGCCGTTTAACCACCTGTAAGTTTTGAAAACTTTGCATCACCAATATGTTAAAATGTATAAATTCTATTTGCATTCACTGAAAATGATTTATTAGTGAGGGGAGGTTGCTCCGTTCATTTGCTACTGTGCTTCTGTGAAAGCTGGATTCCTGCCACCCGTACGTTTTGTCTATTCATTATCACCTCGAGACGACGATCAGTCTCATGTTAACTAGCGATTGATTAAAAGTAAGTCGTGTGACACTTGAAATAGTTTATATATAAGGAAGACTTACAGCCACTGCAGCTTGATTAATTGGGAAAAAAAGTCGCATGGCAAATTCTTCAAGTTGTTGCCGTTTAACCACCTGTAAGTTTTTTAAACTTCGCATCACCAATACGTGAAAATGTGTTAATCCTATTCGCGTTCGACCGAAGTACTGGTATAAAAAGAAATGTAGAGTGCGAGGCCCGGTCTTTAGAAAGAAAACGCTTGCAAGTGCCTCCCCCTAAATACTGGCCACAACTATGCAAACTGATAAAACATCGTTAGCAAGGGAACAGAAAATAGGATTTGCGAAACAAAGACCACCGACATATGCGAGGAAATGAACACTGATTAAACTTTCCAAATACAAACCGTCCCACCCTCTTTCATTCTCTTCATGGTTAACTACACCCACTAAGTGCGAGGATCATATTAAGTAAACACTGACATTACACTCTTACCACATCGAAAGTTAATATAAAAATAGGCGTAGACTTACAGTATGATCAACTCAGTGTTATTATGGAAGACTCCAGGTGGTAGCTCATTAATCTGGTTGCTACTCAAGGACCTAAGAAAAGATGTTCCATGACTTTAGTTCAAATTATACTACCTCTTGTGTGTTGCTGCTGTTGAGTACTTTTTCGGTCGGAACACAGTTTATTTGAACCGCTTCCGGGTCAAACAAACGCTTTTACTGTAATCTTGAATGTGATTGACGAGTTGATATATATCAACACTTTAAGTATGGCAAAATCTCAGTCCTCAAGGAATGAACTTAAAAAATAACAGTAGGCTAACGTGGAAATGTTTGAAGCAAAAGTTCACATTCTATCATATACAAGTAAATATACAAGTTAGGCCTATGACGAGGTTTCTTCGCGTCTCTCTAATTCATTCGCCATAACATGGGGATCACTTTACAATGCTACTTTACAAGCGAACCTACTTATATTCTACACTAATTGAGTATTCGCTCATAATCAGATAATACAGAGACTTTGCGCACATCACGATAGCCAGTTTGGATGAACGTAAGCTTTTGTTTGGAAATAGCTATGTTCACCCTCACAGTCTGAGTCTTATTACATAATCGCTCTCTCCACGTCGTGAGACGCGGAGAGAGCGCTTTAGGGCTCAGTTGTTGACAACACCATTACTTTGCACTCGAATAGTTACAATAAGTCTTCTGATGAGGTTCATCTTTATCCTTGTAGTTAGATCCCTCTAATTCTCTGTCTTGGCCCGCAATTCTTTTTCAAAATTCAAAACGGTGCTTTGGAGATTAGAGGTGTTTTTTTTTTCTCACTGAAAAGTGGGACAACTTAAAATAAAACAACATTAGAAATACGATCATATTATTGATTTGGGTAATAATATGAGCTGAGATAGTTCGATGTAAATTTCCTTCTTTAAACTCTTGCCGTTGAATTGGTGTGTAGACGTAAGTACCGTATTTATCCGTATTTGTCCGCGCTTTAAATGTTCCTGGCACAACAAGTCCGTTCTCCAGCCTTTTTGACCCTGTTACTTTAGCAGAAACCTCATTATCGTTGTAAGCTCTCAGAAATGTATAGATGAGGTAAGATAGTTCGATTGGCACATGTCCTGCAAGCTCGCTGCCAGTATTAGATTCTAAATACGTCCCAATTGCATATTCCTCATGTTGTTTGGCTTCCTTGCGATCATCCTCGCGGCAGTTAAGTTTTTCTCCCAAAGTTGGAGTCCACACAGATTTATAAATATGATGACCTCGTATAACTGATGTGAATCGCACTTAAAACACAAAGTTCCATTTCATATAGTGAAAACTTGAGCGAGCCATGGCTTTGAATTAACATTGAATGCTCTGGCACTAAAAGCGAGCTGTTCAGTACGCTAAGCTACAGCGGAAGCCACACGTGTTTCCTGTTATGTACCGGGAGCTCTTTGACTTTCGTTCTTGCACATAATTACCTTATTGTAAACTTGTGGGATCTAGCACCTTCATGCATTCATGTGATGTTTAAACTGACAGATCAAATATTTGATTCCAGAGATGTTTAAAAAGATATAAATCACATAAGTCACGTTTTCATCTTCCCTTTGACCTAAAAGCATGGAGACTGATACATCTCAGTCTCATGCCGGCAGAAAAGTAAGTTCGTACTCGACCGAATATAAATTAGAAGCTATCAAGTCTGCCGAAGAAAGTAAAAGCATCTATAGCGCAGCAAAAAAAATCAATGTAGACCGTAAGAGAATTCGTGAATGGCAAAGCGCCAAGGCAAAACTTCAGGCTGCGGATAGAAAGAGGAAACGTCTTGATGGAGGAGGTACAAAACCATTTGGTGTTGGCCTGGAAGACGAGCTTTTAGAGTGGATACATGAACACAGGTCCAGCCGCCTTCGAGTTTCAAGGGCAATGATTTCGCAAAAAGCACGAGCTATTCATGAGCAAAAATGCAAGGCATGGCAGGTTTCTCCATCTTTTATTGCAAGTAATGGCTGGCTCCCGAAGTGTATGGCCAGGAATGGGCTGTCGGTGAGGCGCAGAACCACTGAATCGCAGAAAGACCCAGACAGACTTATCGACAAGCTTATTGCCTATATCTTACAAGTACGAGGACAGCGAAGCAGGCATTCCTACAGTCATAGTGACATTATTGCCATGGACGACACAGCTGTCTGGCAAGATATGCTGTCCAGCACTACTGTTGACAAAGCGGGAGAAAATTCAATTCGACTGACGACAACAAGACATGAGAAGTCTAAAGTCTCCGTCTGTTTCCGGGAGCTAAGAGAGAAACAAAGCAGCTTAATGAGGAGTTTAAAAACAAGTGCTATGTAGCCTCTTCTGTAAACGGATGGATGAATGAAGACTGACTCGGGACTAGGTGCAAGGAGTATTGGGCAGGTTCTCATTTACTCGTCGGA